TATTCATTTTCCACAAAAACACTATAAAGGCTTGTACAAGCCCTTCTCCTTAAACACAACAAAACAATCACAATTAAACTGAGTAACTGAAATACTTAAATGAAAACCAAGGCAACTGAAGAGAAAATAGCAACAAATCGTACTTAAGTAACCATTATACAGTTAAAAACAAAATTATTGCAAAACTAGAAGGTAACATGTGCAAAGCAAATGCATAATGTTTACCTTCGCATGTGGTCTGCTCTCTTAATTCTAACTCAAACACATTACTATATATGGTGACAGGCGTCTCAATTCCTCCTGCGATAAAATTGCAACATGATGTAGCCCAACACTAGTTACCATGGTGACAGATGTTTGGTTCTTCATATCATAATCATATGTATATGATTGGATGTGACCTGTGCTTAGCCCAGTGGGGCAAAAATGTATAATAAAGGTCTTTCTTCATTCATTCATTCATTCATTCATTCATTCATTCATTCATTCATTCATTCATTCATTCATTCATTCATTCATTCACTCATTCATTCATTCATTATTATGTTTCAGGTGTGGGGTTCTCCTTCATGTACACCCCCTGTATCACCATGGTGGGGAGATACTTCAAGACAAGAAGGGCGCTCGCAAACGGACTGGGTCTGTCAGGCTCCGGAGTAGGAACTTTCGCCTTCCCTCCAGTCTTCCAGTTACTTATAGACCACTACGGGTGGCGGGGTTCCCTGTTTGTCGTAGCAGGGGTCGCGTTGTAAGGCTGCATCTTTGGCGCCTTGCTAAGACCAATATATCTGATAGAAGACATTGAAAACAGGAAGACAGTCACATTATCAAATGACGCGAAGACGCCCTCAAGAAGGCGATGTTTTTCTGTATATAAACTCCTGGACCTCTCGCTTTTTCGTAAGCTGTATTTTGTAGTTTTTACCCTCTCCAACATGCTGCTGATATTCGGCAACTTCATCCCCTTCGTTCACCTGGTCGCGCACGCGAGAAGCATCGGAACTGGAGCGCATGCAGGAGGCGGCTTTTCTGATCTCGGTTATCGGTATTGGTGACGGGGTGTCTAGGGTAGCGTATGGCTGGCTCTCGGACTTGGGCCTGTTCCCTCGGCTCCGAGGGTACACCATGTGTGCCCTCGGTCTTGCCCTATCTGTGTTCTTCTTGCCGCTGCCTCGGACGTACCCTGCCATGGTGGCGTGTTGCCTGGCCGTCGGCCTGTTTGCCGGCTCCTGCGCTAGTCAAACGGCGGTGCTCCTGGCGGAATTTTGCGGGGTGGGCAGGCTGGTGAGCGCCGTGGGGATAGCGTACGGGATACAGGGATTCGCCATGCTGTTCGGGCCGCCTATTGCAGGTAAGAATAATCTTTATCTTATACCATGGACGTTTTCCGATTTGCCCACAGTTTTTAACAAGAGCCATCCAAACTGCGTGACCAGGCATGTTCAGATTATGAAACATCACATGAAAGAAGTTCCGCTGCAGTACCATAACAAACTGCTAGGGGGCCCCAAAAGTGTTGAGATCTCGTCAAGACCTACCTACCTACCAAGTTTCAAGACATTCCATCCATACCTTTTTTAGTTATCGTGATTTTTTCATCCTTACTTTTATTTTGCTCTCTAGGTCGTTTATATGACGTCACCGGAAATTACACCGCCTCCTTCTATGTAGCCGGAAGTGTCGTCATGGCCTGCGTCCTCATGCTGACGTCACTAGAAGTACATCGGTCGAGAACCAACGTACCTCCGCGGACACATGGCAGCACCGAAAATACTGAAAACACGTGACTTCAAAAAAGATACGAAAAGGACTGATGATTCTAAGGACCATTTTAACATGTACGAGAGCAGTGTGTGAACTTCCATGTTGCAGAATTTTTTGATGAAACAGGACAGGGCATCTACATGTATATTGAAAACGACCATCAGCGTATACAAACTCAATTTAATTTAATTTAACTTACCTTACCTTACCTTAACTAAATTAACTTACCTTAACTAAACTTAACCAAACCAATCTAAAGGACACGTGTGCGATTGTTTTAGCCGGGTATCAAATTGCATGTAAGACTATTCTTCTTTTAACTTCCCAAAACCCACTGATTTTGGAAAAGGTAGGACATTAAGTCCTCCATGGTTTACAAAGGAGTCAAACCCCTCAGACATAGTTTTAGACATAGCTGTAGCTTTAGACAAGTACCTTTCATCATGTAGATTTTAGCTATTTTATACTCTGTGTCAATGTTCTTTATGTTTGTAATTTGCAATTAGCCTCTGGGCATATATTTGCAATAAACTTCTGTATAAAAGCAGTTGAGAGGTGTCACTTCCCGCTTTGAAATATGTATTATTTATTAAGAGAGAAGTGTACTATGGAGAAATCATGATAAAAATCAATGCCAAAGACAATCCTTACCTGATAGTAATACATGTAGTAATATAATATAAAAGTAGCCCTATTGATAGTAATATTACTAGTACATGTAATAGGTCTGGCCAAACGATTACTAATTTTTCAAATGTTCGGTTTATACTACAATGTATATCTTACAAGCTGTATATCGTTCTAGATACTGGGGGCACCATTAATACCACGGTGGAGAGTGTTTAGCACGTGAAGGTAAAGGTTAGGGGCCGATCATTAATACGACTGTGGTGGTGTTCCTAGTTTGGCGGCAAAGCGTTATACATGTACGAAAAATGGATGAATAATTAACCTAGAGCAGCACTGGTCCATGTGTAGCGACAAATTGGCAAATGGTTAAGCTTTGGGGAAAGACCATTTTAGCCAATGCACTTCCAGCGCCCAAAACTGAAAATATTCTGAGTAGGAAAAGTATCTTTATCTGTTGGGGAGACGAATATCGAATTCAAGGTTGGGGCTCAAGGCATGTTCCCATGTTAGTAATTGAAACTCTTGTCTAAGTCCGATAAAGCACCGTACCTCTCTTATCCTAAAAGCAACACTCTTCAACTGAGAGAGAACAAGGCACGTCTCCCCAAAAGGCATTAAACTTTTCTTCTCTCCGTCCAAGAAAGCACCTCGCTTCTCTTCATCCAAAAACGCACCGCAGTTTGAATCCACCCAAGAAAGTAACGTTCAGACAATCAGTAGGGATAAAGCATTGCAACACTCTTCAACTAAAAAACCAACGCCCGACTCTTGATCCCCCAAAAGAACCAAACTTTTCTTCTCTTCGTCCAAGAAAGCACGTCGCTTCTCTTCATCCAAAAACGCACCGCACTTAATCCACACAAGAAAGTAACGTTCAGACAATCAGTAAGAATAAAGCGTTGCACCACTCTTCAACTAAGGAAACAAAATGTAAGTTTCTTATTTAATACCAAAAGGCATTAAACTTTTAATCTCTCCGTCCAAGAAAGCACGTCACTTCTCTTCATCCAAAAAACGCACCGCAGTTTGAATCCACACAAGAAAGTAACGTTCAGACAATCAGTAAGAATAAAGCGTTGCACCACTCTTCAACTAAGGAAACAAAATGTTAGTCTCTTAATTCCAAAAGGCATTAAACTTTTAATCTCTCCGTCCAAGAAAGCACGTCACTTCTCTTCATCCAAAAACTCATCGCACTTAATCCACACAAGAAAGTAACGTTCAGACAATCAGTAAGAATAAAGCATTGCAACACTCTTCAACTAAGGAAACAAAATTTAAGTCTCTTATTTAATACCAAAAGGCATTAAACGTTTCATCTCTCCGTCCAAGAAAGCACGTCACTTCTCTTCATCTAAAAACGCACCGCACTTAATCCACACAAGAAAGTAACGTTCAGACAATCAGTAAGAATAAAGCATTGCAACACTCTTCAACTAAAAAACCAACGCCCGACTCTTGATCCCCCAAAAGAACCAAACTTTTCATCTCTCCGTCCAAGAAAGCACGTCACTTCTCTTCATCCAAAAAACGCACCGCAGTTTGAATCCACACAAGAAAGTAACGTTCAGACAATCAGTAAGAATAAAGCATTGCACCACTCTTCAACTAAGGAAACAAAATGTAAGTCTCTTATTTAATACCAAAATGCATTAAACTTTTCGTCTCTCCGTCCAAGAAAGCACGTCACTTCTCTTCATCCAAAAACGCACCGCACTTCCAAATCCACCCAAGAAAGTACCGTTCAGACAATTAGCTCCAGGACATGTATAAGACTAACCTTGAGTTGTTTGTCACACGGCATTACGGATCAGCTACCGATCGAAGAAGGACACATCCAAACAAGACCAACAGCAACCAGCGCCAGAGGCATTCTGCACGAATTCCTACCCAGAGGGTGCCAACTGAAGCTAGTTTGACTACCTGAAAAGGTATGTGTCTGCCAGTGGATGATCAGCATCAGTAGCTTAATCTGTTTTAGGTAAATTGTATGCCTTAATCAAGGTTAACTTTCTAAGCAGGGTCGCCGGTGGCATAGCGGCAGAGTGCTCGACTAGGAACCAAGAGGTCCTCGGTTCGAGTCCTGGCAGGCCACCGATCGCGATCTAGTGCCCTTGGGAAAATTGTGCTCTTTCTTGGCGGTTAACAAGGGTAAACATTACCCAGGAAAGAATATTCCACCCAACATCTGTTTGGAGATAAGGTTCTGAAGAGTAACTGAGGTTCTGAAGAGTAATAGGGGTGTTGCGACCTTGTGCTTTTGTTGACGCCATACTCCTGGGACCAATTATCTACCAAACGAGGAAATTCAGATTGACTTTGATACTTTTTCATGCCACAGTCTCTTTTGTTTTTAGGCTTATGTTTCTTCTTCACCACTGACAAGCACCACAACGTTGGATTACCGTGGGATTCTTTGTTCCATTTCCCTTTTTTCTCATCACACAAATTCTTTCTCTTTCAGACGAATCTAACTAATCATTTTTCTCTCGACAGTGTATAAGCCAATATTTTCCCTTGGACCCTGTTAATGTTTATACACTTGGTGTGGCCATACTAAGGAGCTTGCCGTTCTGTTTAGGTGACAGTACACCATGGGAAGAAAGCTGCGACACGTGCTGATTTTCCTTCTCATCATCCTGAAGGAGCCCAACATGCCAGACGCTGACTGCATGTGTACACCACCACCACACTGCCGCTGCTATGGCCTCAACAGCATCCCACAGAACCTCCCAAAATCCGTCTGTAAATTGGATTTAATTTCTAATCATTTTATAACTGTAAAACAGTCTGAGCTCTTGCGGTATAGAGATCTGTGTTGGTTGTGCCTGTTGGGCAACCAGATAACAATGATTAGGAGTGGTACGTTTGTAAATCTTACCAAGCTAGAAATGGTGAATCTGGGTGTGAACAATCTAACAATGATTCAACCCGGTGCATTTGCAAATGTTCCCCGCCTAAATCGGTTGGAGCTTTTCCATAACCAGATAACAAAGATTGAAGCTGGCACAATGGCAAATCTACCCGGGTTGCGCACTTTGCATCTGTACGGAAACCAGATAACAAAGATTCAACCTGGTATATTTGCAAACCTACGCAAACTACAAAAGTTACATCTGGCTCTAAACCAGATAACAATGATACAGCCTGGTTCATTTGAAAGTCTACCCCAGCTAGAATGCTTACGTCTGGACAATAACCAGATAACAATGATACAGGCTGGATCACTTTCAAATCTCCCGCAGCTACAACACTTAAGCCTACAAAAAAACCAAATAACGAAAATTCAGGCTGGTTCATTTGTCAACCTACCACGACTACAATTTTTGGAACTGGGCGAAAACCAAATAACAAAAATTCAGGCCGGTTCATTTGCGAACCTACCCCTATTCCAACGTTTGGAACTCCAGAACAATAAGATGTCTGCCATTCCCCTGTCAGCTCTCCGCTCGTTCCTATCTATCATTACCATAGAACTAGATGGGAACCCCTGGCATTGTGACTGTAAGATGACTCCCTTCAGGCTAAACCCCGCATTGAAAGACCAGATAATATGTGCCCAACCGGCCAAAGTTCAGGGACAGAACCTTACAGATGTCAATCCAGAAGAATTAACTTGTGAAGAGCCAACCGACACCTCTCACTATCACTGGTTCTTTAAACGCAACGCTGGCCCAACAGCATGTCATGCAGAAAACACGGGCAAACCAAAAACAACACGATCTTCACCCTTACCAATAACTGACACACCTCCATCTGCTCCCAGTCCCCCGCTACCTGTTATCATTGGCTCTTCTGCTTCAATACTAGTCATTGTTCTGATTTGCACAATCGGACTTTCAGTGTGGTACAAGATCAGGTATCCTACTAGCTTAGTGCTGAATCCCAATGTTGTTGGTAGCAACACAAACACGGCCGTTTCTGTAATGACCAGTGGTCATGATCAGACAGGGCAGGGTCAGTCTCAGGCCATCACTGAATCCAACACAAACACCACAGCTACTGTAATGGCCAGTGGTGATGATCACCAATATGAAGACATTGACAATCCACGTGTTAAGAAAGAGCAGGGTCAGACTAAGGCTATTGCTAAATCTACCACAAAAACCACATCTGCTGTAATGACCAGTAATGATGATCACCAGTATGAAGACATCGACAACCCACGAGTTAAGACAGGGCAGGGTCAGTCTCAGGCCATTACTGCATTTAACACAAACACCACAGCTACTGTAATGGCAAGCGGTCATGATCAGACAGAGCAGGGTCAGTCTCACACTCACATTCAATCTCTGAAAGTTGGAAACCTACCCCATGACCAAATACTAGCTGCCTTGAATCCGAATCTTATGTATGTACCTACAGAAGTAACCAGTGGTCATGATCAGACAGGGCAGCGTCAGTCTCAGGCCATCACTGAATCCAACACAAACACCACAGCTACCGCAATGACCAGCGGTCATGACAAGACAGGGCAGGGCCAGTCTCAGGCTAATCTAACTTATGACATAGGGCCGACAGCATCAGAGGTAAATTCTCTGTACGTTAATGTGGAAACACCGACTGCATCGAAGCCAGATACTCTGTACAAAACGGCTACTGCAATGACCAGTGGTCACGACCAGACAGGGCAGGGCCAGTCTCAGGGCAATCTAACTTATAGCACAGGGCCGACAGCGTCAGAGGTAAATTCTCTGTACGTTAATGTGGAAACACCATAATTTAACTAACATTTTACCAGGAAGGTCTTTGTTGGCAACCTATGAGTGACAAAACAAGTACAGAAACAATCATTGTGAAGACATTGATGTCCCCTTTCCTTCTATCCATAAAGGCACTGCCATTAGCAACACAAATTACTAGTATTTTTTTTAGTTCCTTGACATTTTCCAAAACAAAACAAAACAAAATCATCATAACGTCCAGATGGAAAGAGAGGACTTGAAACAAAACTTGAGTGTCGTTCTCAGTACATGAAACATGAAATCTGCCTCTCCCATACTCCAATACAAAACATAATTATAGCAGGAAAAAGGAAAAAAAACCGTTTTCAGCTGTGAAGGTCACAAAATTTTAATTTGGGTAAAGTATTAGTAAGTAGTTCTTGGGTGTGGGTACTTGCAGTTCAAATTGTTGTAGTGTGTCATCAGGACAGACCTTTAAGTAACTTATTGTTACTTATAATTTTACAGTGGTAAATTGTATGTGTGTTGCACAGTTCAAATATGTTGTAGCATTCCAGAAGGGTACAAGAGGGACATTTGAGGTTACCCCTTGTTACTTATAATGTAGTAAAACAGTATGTGTGTAGTAAAGACTTGAGTTCAAAACCGTAGTGTGTCAGAAGGACAGACGATGGTACCCATTGTTACTTATTAACAAGGACAATAGTAAATAGTATGTGGGTTGTGAGGACGTTCTGTTCAAAACTGTTGTTGTAGTGTGACAGTTTTCCCTCTGGATCACAAGTAGTCAAAGTACATGTTTTAAATTTGAAATTTACAGAGAAAAATATTCTGTTCAGTATATGAACAGAGCTAAGCCTTAGCCAAATCTCCATAGCTGGCTCTAATATTTATCTTGCAATGTATAATTAGACTTCTTACAACTAGATTCTTAACCTAGCAACAGCTGCAACACAAAATTATAAAATTACCTGCCTTCCAAAATTGGATATGGATTTAAGGAATCGATGTACAATTTTTTAAAGCTACATTGTGAGATGAACACTTGAAGTATTCTCCAAGCAGAGGTTTGGGTTTTGGGGGTATTCTTAGGCTTTTTTATTGGGGTTTCTCTTTTGCACTGAATTTTTTTTCCCACCAAACCCAACCTCTGCCAGCAGTCGAAAGCTTCAATGGGCTATAAACCTAATCACTTCCAACCAGACGCATGAATAGACACAGTCAGCAGGAGGCATGTGGCCCAATAAATGTCTTTCTGGCTGGCTAGATGTGTGATAATCCACCACAGTAAAATGGATATCCCTGATGATGATTTGATGGTTCCCGGGGAGGAGCACTGTCACGTTTCTTGAATACGTTTGCCCCGCCCTGGCGTGAGTGCCGGCAGAGGTTGGGTTTGGTGGAAAAAAAAATCAGTGCAAAAGAGAAACCCCGATTAAAAAGCCTAAAAACATGCTAAAATATTCCCAAAATCCAAACCTCTGCTTGGAGAGTACACTTGACGGGTAATCTTCTAGAAATATTTCATTCTTTGTTCAAAGTATTCTTTGACATTAAAACTACAAGGCTCATAAGTTTAAAATTTAGGTATACTCAACATATGTGAAAGCTCATGACAAGATAAAAATCATCCTCATGGTAAGATTAGAATGTTCCACACTTGTTTACTGTATTTTTCTCAGACTTGTATGTACATTAAGTTACATACAGTAACTATCCTATCAATAGTGATAAATGATAGTTTCTTTACTTGTTAATTAATAGCTTCAAGTAACATTGATCATGATGAAATTTAAGACATATATCTGGAAAAAAGTCTGAAAATTTTACAAATATATCATCATTTCTATTTTACAGAATTATAGATTCTTCTCTTTTATAAAAGAGTGTTGATAAAACACCAGCTATACATGTAAAAGAGCAGACGTCTTGCGAGGCAGTACAGGGTGTAGAGCAGCAGAGACAGTGCCTTAATTCGCACTCCTCACACACTTAAGACACTTAAGTAGCTGCTAGTGGAGCTTGAGAAGTCTTGCCTTTCTTCTGTGTCTTTTCTAAACAGAGAGAAAGGACAATATATTCACTGACTGAGTCTGTTGAGAACAAATTTAATTCAAATTCAACTAGAGTTCCCCGATGTCTAGTTAATCTTTATGACTGACAAATTATAGATTAGATTATTCCCCCCCTGATTTAACAAATAGGAACCTAATTTTCATGAATTATATCATTTTCTCATAATCTCAACCAAAAGACAGTCTTATATTAACAACAATGCATTCTAGCATTTCCTTATAAATTATGCAAATGAGGTCCTGATTTGAATAAATTATGTTTTATGATGTTCACCTCAACTTAACTTTCAAATACCACAAGTATGAAATTCCAGGCAGTTATCATTACATAATTATAACTTTTTCTCATTAATTATGCAAATTAAGAATTATTAACATAATGAATATCTTCCTGTGTTTCTCTCGTTGTCAATTACCAATGTCACAAGCTTCAATTGTCCTATCATGGAATGCAGCTGATTTATAGAATTTCCCCATAGATTATGCAAATTACATCCATATTTGCATAATTATCACATAATTATATTAAGCATCACGTAAGCTGCCTACATACCAAAAATCACGACGATCCGTCAACCGGTTCTTGAGTTATCCCCTTTTGAATATTTTCAAGAATATATCCCTGCAGTTCCAGAACAAGCCGCTAGGGGGCCCAAACTCACGTCACTTCTTTCCCAGCACGATAGCTACCTACCATCCAAATTTCATCACGGTAGCATGTCTAGATCATGAGATATCAAAACCGGACGTTCAGCTGCAGTTCCATTACAAGCCGCTAGGGGGTCCAAAATCTAATCATTTTGAGGTCTCATAAAGACCTACCCACCTACCAAGTATCAAGACAATCCATCAAGGCCTTCTCAAGTTATCGTGTTTACAGACAGACAGACAGACAGACACACACACACACACACACACACACACACACAAACACGAACGCCTCTGAAAACATAACCTTCTTGGCGAAGGTAATAAACTAATGAAGAAGCTAAGTAACACTTGAATAAATCAAACCAAGAAATATAGCAGGGTACAATGACAAATATTTACCTAAGAGGGCCCTGAAGTAGTTTGACATTGGCGGCTACAATAGATGTTCCTCCACATCTGGACTTGGCAAGGACAGAGACATCCGAGGATGTCCGGGGAACGAGATGACCTCAGAGTCTGTAAGCATGACAAACAGCACCGTCCACAAAAGTGGCACAAGGCCTGAACTGAATTGAGTAGGGACAGTAGACTCTTTCCTACTTGAAGCTTTGAGGGGGCCTGCATGCCCTTTCTCGTAAGGCGTAATCAGGCCTTTTCCGTCTTCATAATCCTCCCCCGAAATCAACGTAATTAGTAATAGAACATTAGCTGCAAAGCGTAAAGTCGTAATAAGCTCTGTGTCTTTAACGTAATTCGTAATTGGCGGCGAAATTTTTTGCGTGATTCGTAATCACTACCCCCATGCAGGCCCTCCTTTGACAGTGAGATATTCCTTCCGACAAGATTGCGTAGGACGTACCCAAGATATTGAACCACTAGCGGCAGACGAACTCGGTCGTAAGGAGCACAAACAACAACATTTCCTGTGGGGAAGCTTCTTCAGTCTTAAGCCTGAGAAGTTAATCAGGAGAAGATGGCAGCACAGAAAGACGTCCTTTACCTGGTATTTTTAGCGCTGGCTGTCCGGACTGTCCGTCTTCAGCTGACCAGTGGTGATGACCAGGGCTGGGCTTTTATTTGGGATTACAATGGGCGAGCTGAGCAGGTTTACTACGATACTATGGTGGCCAGGTGGAACTATAACACCAACCTTACACTGGAGAACAGCAGGAAACAGGTAGGAAAGTTCCATCATATATGAAAGTTTATTGCAAATTCATGCCGAGGGCTAATCGCAAGAACATGATAACAACAATAATCATTAAAAAATGATAATAAGTAATGCTTATGCTGGTTTAGATATACATTTGTAGTTATTGTTAAGATTGGATATGATTTCGTTTCCGTGTGCAGTGGAGTATGAAAAGGCCGACATTTTGCGAGATATCATAAGCTACATGGACCATGGATTTTGTTTTCATGACAAGCGAGTTAACAATTGCATTCGACTACTGTCTGCTTTGTTCTACCTTATCGAAATAATTTAATTTTTAAACTTCAATTAAGACACTTTTGAAACTGGCAAAATTTCGATATGGGCCCTGTTCATATATATACATTTCTTGTAGATTTTGATGACTTCTATCAGAGATTACAAACCATGCCACGATATTTATCACAAAGATGATAAATGAATAAAGATAAGAATATATAATTCAATTAGATTTACTTTTACAAGCATGACCTACTTTTGTAGCACTCGTCGATTGACGTGCATGTATTGGAAGAAGGATTGACAGGAACACATGTTTTTCATTTGCATTGCCTTTTTTGTAACGACGAAGCCTAGATTGTATCCCCTGCCTCAAAAAAAAGAATCCCCAATGTCTTCCTGCGTCTTCCCAAGGTTTTCTCAAACCTCTGTGACGTATTAGAATCCTTGAACTCATCCAACAACCAAACTACATAAACAAAGCGTGCAACGGTACCGGTGGTCCTTCAGAAAAGATGGCGGTGACGTAAGCAGCAGACGACCGGGCTCCAAGCTACGTTTTCGGCATGGCATTACTGTGCTGTAGAATATAAGTCTACCAAAATACTCAGTCTTATAACTTATTAACATGCTATCTTGATACAAGTTTGCTCTTGTGACTTGTAACGATGTAAAGCTTGCAACTGCGACTTCTTCGATGTTTTGTAGTCTTTGAGATACGTACATACAGTTTATGGACAGCGACTAGGTCAAGTCAGAATTCCTTCACAGAAGTGTCGTTCATCTAGCCTGCGAAAAAAAGAATATGATTCAAGAACCGGTGCACTAGAAATTATCAAACTTGCTTGTACATGTGCAAAATTTGTGAATAAAATTAATACATGTATTAAATTTAATAGTTTGTTGGTGTTGTGTTGTGTGTGTCAAATTATGGTTCTCTGTCTTCCGACCCCACTTCTCGACCCCTGTCTGCGGTGGTGCGGTCCAGCTGGGCCGACCTCCGGCTTGTCGCAATTGCACCAAATGCGCAGACGTGGTGCAGCTTAGCGGCTTCCTTTGTATAAAGTTTTAATAGAAAAATAGTAGTAACGAATTCTGAAACAAAAATTTGAATTCCGTAAGACATATGCAAGACTACCCCAATTTGCGGTCGTACGATAACCGTACGATCGGAATGCGACAATGCCCATAATGTATATGGTGTGTTTTAGGATGAAGCCAACTTCATAGAGGCACACTTCGACAGGCAAGCGGCACAGATTGCCTCAAGTTTTGACTGGCAAAACTTCAACAACGCGACATTGAAGAGACTCTTCAGAAAAATCACACTTCTGGGAACCGCCGTTAACCATATCGAGCAGGCCAGGGAGGCCAGGGAGGTCAGTAGTGATTATAATTGTAAAACAATAATATAACGTTATACATTTATAATAGAATATAGAACTTCTGTTGCTCTCTAAGCTTTGTTATCTTCCAGTGAACGTAGTTATCGTTTTGTGTTCGTGTATGCGAGAGAGAGAGAGAGAGAGAGAGAGAGAGAGAGAGAGTGTGTGTGTGTGTGTGTGTGTGTGTGTGTGTGTGTGTGTGTGTGTGTGTGTGTGTGTGTGTGTGTGTGTGTGTGTGTTTGTGTGTGCGTGGCGTGCGTGTGTGTGTGTGTGTGCAAAAATAGATAGACGTACTAAAAACAACACACGTAAAGCATATTTCCCTAAACCTTACTCTTGCTTTTGGATGAATAGAACGCATGGAACAAGTCGAGTTTTGTTCGTAATCCTCGCTTTGTAGGGAAACCCGTTCTAAAACGTCCACGTTCCATAGAATGGGTTATACCGAACAAGTACGCTCAAATGTAATCTTCGAATTCGTAACGTTTGTTTGTCTTCGGTTCGTTGCTAACGTGAGATTTTACAAAACCCGTTTATTTTGTGACTATAAGTCACTCGATTTCCGTCCTGTGCAGTTTGAAAATATTTGTCTCGATTCTTGGCTGCAACTTTGTCTGTGGGACCCCCAGTGTGGCCGGAGGCCGGGTTTTCCGGTGACACGAGAACGCTGTGATGTTGAACTTGAACTGAACTGACGATACCGTTGGAAAATGTGGCGTTCGGTAGTTTTGTGGCTGGCCTTCGTCAGTTTCGCGTCCTTGTCTGCTTCAGAGGTCAACTTTCAGGTTAGTTCAGACACTAAGCAATCTTTTACTCGTGAAAAGACCTACCATAATCTTTTAACACTACAACACTACAGACCGCCAATAGAGTATCATTATACAGGGTTATGACTAAAGTTTCCAAATTTGAGAATGATACAGTGCATTTGATGGAATAATAAATGAATGTATGAAGACCTTTATTCCACATTTTTGCCACACTTGGCTAAGTACAGGTCACAACAAAATAGGATGAATGGATACGGTTAACAGATACCAAAGTAAATAACTATCGTTATATAAATTCAACTTCTCGTTTTACAGTTATTATAGAAATAAAGGAACAGATCTGTTTTTCGATGGGTGGTTTGTCTACACGTGTAGTTGCATTAGAAATATAATTTTTTCTACAGTACTCAAGTGTATGAAATAGGGGAATAGGCTCTATATAAGGCCACAGCAAGTAATTTTTATGGATGACATCAGCGCGCGCATATTTTCGCCTAATTTGGAAAAAAACAAGAAATTTCGTTGCCTTCTGAAAGTGATGCTGGCTGTGTATTTGTGATGTTCCCACTGAATAAAAACCATTTGTACAATGATTGAGTCAAAATTTTA